GTACAGATAAGAGTGGGCTGTGCACTCGGTAAAAGGATGTGAAACAGCACTCAGTTGAGATCAGATATAATTTTGAATGGAAATAATGATAAATGACAGAGTAATGTAGGATGATGATAAAATGTCTTCTGGAAAATTGTGTATGGGCCTTCCAGGATCAGTGGCTTCAAAACAGTTATTTTCTATCAGCTGGCTGCTGGTTACCCATAGCAGGAAATGCCCCAAGTGTTAAAAAATGCATACTAAGCAGTGGGTGGGGAACTGAGGGACGTTGGGTGGATTGATAGGTGAATCTCTAACAAAAAAATAATCACGCCTTATCCTTACTACAATGTTAGTGAGAATGCTCATGCATTAGCAATCCAGAACTGGAAGACCTGGGGACTGATTATCCAGAATATTGGACAGAGTATTATGGTTGACAGAGTTAGCTCTGTAGTGGCAGGAACGGCTCTAGGATGTGGATGAGTCTTCCTAACTTGTCCTGTTCTGACCAGCCTAGCCACATACCATGATGCCCATGTGATTGTTTTATAAAAGGCCTCTGTGTAGCTCTTACTTCTGTGATGCCGTAGAGTCTACCCTCTGAAGCTGCCATTTTGTCCAGGGAAATGGATCTCGTTAGTCTGGAGATCAGTTGTAACCCTGGAAGAACTCCAGGCCCCACCCGGAGCTTGGCAACTTTACATTCAGCCCAGAAACAGTTCTCACACAGGGTGAGTTGTTTGTCCCATGAGCTAGTTCATAACTTTGCCATTTATCTGATTAAGTTGATTGGTGCAGTAGACTGGTTATTGCTGTGATATGGTAACCTGTGATGCTGACAGTGAAGTCTGAAGCAACCCAATCAGATAGGTAGGATGACAGGCACGGTTAATTTCCATATCAGCATCTTGCCCCTTGTACAAAATTATTAAGGGACCAAAATATTGCTCATTGTTTTGAGTTTGCACCTTCTTTTCCCTCCAGCCTAACCACTCTAGGGCAGTTTCCCCAGTAGGGTTTAATGTGTAACCTTCTGAGTTTTTAAGAGATAGATTTAAGAGACATGGTACCTTGAAGCACAGCCCTCTGGAGTATGCCCTATAGTTCTTGACTTGGAGGTACCTAGCAGGTTTGTTATAGAACAGTTCCTTATACAGCTGCATTTCTGAGTTTCACTGCTTTATGAGGCAGGATTAAAGCCCCAATGTTCCAAATTCAGTGTTCTACAGAAGGGCATGATGTAAATAAATGAATATAAAGAAAATGCCCTCTAGCACTGGATTTGAAGGAACCTTACAACCTCATTACTATGCAGCCATTTCTCCATCCCTGTTTAGATGTGAATGAAAACACATGGGAAGCCACTTACACCTGCACTGTGGTTCTATGGCGACACGAAGGTACGTACTACAGCATTTCGAGCAGGGCGGGGAGGGATCCCATTCATATTTTCCATCTTCATACTTTTCTGCAGGTGTAGGAAGAAATCTCTTTTATGAGAACAGCTCTGCTTTGGTGCTCTTGAAATTGACATGGGGCCCACCTGCCTGACTGTTAAAGGTAATCATTTGTTATACTTTAAAGAACTTTCATTCTTCATACCTTAAAAGAATTCTTTAATTGTTGACACTGGCCAATAAAACAAACAAAACTAAAAGTCGCTCTACATCCTTGACTGTTAAAGGTAATCATTTGTTATAAGTCAGATACTTTAAAGAACTTTCATTCTTCATAACTTAAAAGAGTTCTTTAATTGTTGACACTGGTCAATAACACAAACAAAACTAAAAGTCGCTCTACATCTACAAACAGAAAGCAAGCCCTGCAAGCTACAGCATTTCACAAGATACCTCTGCTTCTGTTTTTAATACTTTAACACTTAGTTTTAAAAGAGCAGATACTAGATTTACCACCAAGACATAAAGTTATGTCGTTTGACTTTAGAAACAGAGAGCTGGTAAGGACCTCAAGAGTCATCTAGTCCAACCCCCTGCACAATGCAGGAAATTCACACACACAAAAAACGCATTTCCCCTTGCTCTATGCCCAGAGGAAGGCAAAAAACCTCCAGGATCCCTCTTCAATCTGGCCTGGAGGAAGATTCCTTCCTGACCCCAAAGTGGTGATCAGCATTACCCTGGACATGTAGGAATGAAAGAGAAACCACATTCACAATTTTTTTAAAAAAGATAATAAAATGCATTTTCTCAAATGTTGACCCTCTTTATCATGCCAGATACTGACAGGTCATGGGATCTATAGGAGCCACCACTGGATCAGCCTGGGTGCTGAAATCTTGTAAGGAACACATTAATGAGTCCCTGGTGTACATCTGAAATC